GGGCGAGGAAATATTTGCCGAGGGAGTAGGTGTTAAGTGGAAAAATGGGCAATGGGGAAGAGGGAGGGGAAGGAAAAATACGCCTGCCCGCAAAGCCTGTGAGTCCCTGTGATTTCCCATTGCGGGCAGGCGTATTTTTTCGTTCCCCTCGCTCTCCCCCGTTGCTCATTTTTCCAATTGACACCTACTCCCTCGGCAAATATTTCCTCGCCCCAATCCTCCCCAGTTACCAAATCTAAGATGGCGGCCTAATACGAAAATGTGGACTCATGCGCCCAAAATACGCCGGCACTGCAGGCTAACACACACACACACGCACGCACGCACACGCTGCCTTTTTATTACTGTACCACTGTCTTTTACTGACCTGTGAAACTTCCAGCAGTCTTGAACATGAAGCAGGAAGTGAAATCTTTTCTTTGGCCTCCTTTACATTTCTGTTTACACTTTACGTTAATGACAACAAGGTTCCCCGTTAAATTCGTTACCGCTGAGTTGTTCCACTGTAAAAGGCATAGATACTGAATAAATACAGTGAAACGGAAAACTAAAATTATATTCTTTACTGATATTTCGTTGCTAAGATCCCCCGCCGACACTGATCCGCTGTTTTGGAAAAGATAACTTTGCTGAGAGAAGGAGGTTGCGAGTTTTAAATGCAACCAGCTTGAAATTCAACTGGCACAGAGCATCAATGCTCACGAGTAAGATGGGATTCCTATGTTTTGTACTTGATGATCGATTGGCATGATGTGAACATTTAGGAATCAACTGACTTTTTAGTAATTTTTTTTATTGCCCGGGTGACCAATATCAATATATGTTCAAGTATAATTTATCTCAAAGAACGTTAACCCATTGATGATTTGACCTGCTCAAAAAGATATCCCAGATGGTTCGACTAGCTTAATTTACCTGTAAGTAGATATCTTTCTTATTTTTCGTGGTCCAAAACCTTCGCTGGAAGTCAGTAAAGTTCGTCCATTGGCCACCCCCCACATAACGAGCTGCTTCCACATCACACGACTCGGTATCTTTAGATGTGGGTTGGCAAAATTTTATCTTGATGTCTGATTTAGTTTGGAAGTTGATAAGAGGCGGAAGCCAGGGGCTGGCCTTGCAAACATCTTTACCATGTCTACTTTCATCATCGTCGTCGTCGTCATCATCGTCATCATCATTGCCACTAGCTTTTACTTCGAGGCGTGCACCACATCCTAACGGAATACAGCTAAGATAAGGCATTCCGCTCGATCCTTTAACTTTCTATATCTGATGAGTCATTCTCTCTTTACTTGCGATATACATACATTACTTCCTGAATTTAGTTGGGAGAATATGAAATTAAATCGAAATGGCAACCTTCACGTTAGCGAATGCTCATCGGTCTTCATCAGTTGTGTGATGGATGGGAGGTAACACATTTGTCTAACATAAGAGTTTTTGGTAATAGTTTGCTTGGATATTTTCTGAGTTAAGATTCCTCGGTGACCTTCGATTCTTAAAATGAAGTAATAACAAAATACCTTCTGCTATATGTAGGATACAAGGATTATTTAGGGTTTTATCAATGACAAAGTTGATATGTAATAAGATGGCTTGCAAGTTAATACAATCATTTTCATTTGCGCCAGCGTGTCTCATATTCCTAATATGCACGCTGATGACGGGTGCGTATGCACCTTTCGCGATCTCCAAACTTCTTGCGCGCTTCAACCATTGTTGGGTGAGACTTAAAGCTTATAGCAGCTATCAGTTCAGTTATGTGTAAACGTCCGCTCATTGATATATAAAGCACACGAAAAGTTTTGAGAACATGAAAGATGTCACTGTCAGTCGAGGTGTAATCTAGAGGAATTCTAACCTCTTGAGGGCTCTCCAAACTTTCGAAGTGCTTCATTCTTCGGTGAACGCGCAGGTGACATTTGAGACAATTGTTTTTCTAGCATCTTCAACGTTGTAGCTTAAATATTTTTTTATTAGTGATAAACTAGACGCATAAGTGCGTAAACTCGGGCTTCTTTGCTTAGGAATGTTTACAAAGGCATGAAATCTGCCGAAGAGTATTGTGTAATTGAATTTCTGCTTGTTATCCGAAAACGCTCGACATATTTTAGTGTGGGTCTACCACGAACAGTGTGTGCTTTTGTATGTAGTTTGAGTGTATGAGAAGACATATTTACCCTTGAATCACGGGGTATCTTTCTGGCCGCCATGGTAACTATGTGCTTTGAAACTTTGCTGGGTATATACTTCATGATTGAATGCCTTATAGTTGTTTTCTTACCGCGCAACTGAAAAAGCATACGCAGCGCATGCGCTTTACTTGCTAGACTGCGTTTTGCGTCTCAAGGAAAATAACGAAGCCCACTTTTTAACTCGGGCATTCCACAGGAAGCTCGATTAATTACACAAATTCACCAGCTACAACTGTTTTATAGTCTCTCTAATCCCGCAGTACTTGTCATGCATGATGTCACATATCATTCTATCATCGACTAAAGGCAGCACGAACGCCTCCTATCTTATCACTCCTTCATTATCACCAATTGAAGTTCTGGAAAAACTATTCTGAAGCCTTAATATTTTTCTCGGTTGTGTTAAGGATACAGTAACCAGCCAATTCAAGGCTAGACAGGAAGAAAAGTCTATAATGTGTATATTTACAAAAAATATAAGAATGCAATATGACCTACCACTTGATCCTTGACCAAAAATATCGGCGATCAGCCCCTGCAGATTCATACATCTTCCCAAGTGAAACATATATACTGGGTGATCATCCTTACACTGACACCAGTGACAGCAAGATTTTGAATCTGAACAAATCCCTTTCGTGTCAATTGAACGAAAACTCCTACAGGAGTCGACATAAAAAGATTGGCCACCCGCAATACAGTTTGACACAGCTGTGCGATTTGGATTAGAAAATTTGTCGTTCTTCTCCAGCCTTGTCACGTTAACAGTCAAGGAACCCACATTTTCTGATAAAACCAAGATTACCAAAGCTAACATCGTTATGTTCGTGTTCACAACGCACTTTCCAAATTTTTGCATCTTTACTCAAGTGATCTTGTATTGTTAAGAGCTCAATTTTGTGATGAAAACAGCCATAACCTTTTAACTTTCAGTGTGAAACGCCCCCATAGGGGTCTTGCCTCCTCACGCTCGCGATGATTTCCTAACAAGGGTGAAAACTGCTTTGGAACCTGACCTCGATAAGAACGAATTCTGTTTATCCCGTTTCCTTTTACAAAACAAAATATTGTCATTGATTGTAGTCATGAGAAATTAACAGGATAATTCTTCGCTTTATTTTGATGTAGTATATCGCATGAGCCACGTCGCATAGAATAAGTCTATATATCGCTAATATTCACACCCCTTTTAAGACTTTAAGTCGAAAAAAGCTTCAGTTCATGATAAAAGAGTACATTCTATATGTCCCCTATGTAAGATTGAAGACTACAACAGCTGTCTAACGGCAGCTACCCGTCTGGTCTATACTAGTCTGTATAGCGGGCCGTTCTCCTCCTACTCCAGTGGGGTCCCTAACCTCTTACGGTTGTCAGGACCATTTAAGGTTAATTGAATAGCAAATTATGTGTTTTTAGAATAAATTCTTACCTTTTACAGAAGTTTGTTTAGAAAATAGCGGCGGGGCAGAAACTGAGAGATTGAACAAGGCGGGTTTCATCAAAGGCTTTCAAGTTACTTTTAGCCGAAGTGGAACCTCCTCATCAAAGTAAAGCTGGACGGAAAACTATTGTTGGGAAGGTGATTTAATGGTGAATAAAACAATCCTCATACGAATGAATGAGGAAAATAGAATATTCGCTTCATCCAAAGCCAGCCATGGAATCGCAAATCTTATAAAGTCGTTTTAAATGATGAATTGTTAGTTGGCGATGAGGTCGAATGATTTCCACAATCAAAAAGAAATCCCCAACATTACGTGGAACGTTTTCCAGAACCGGGAGTTTACTAACTGGAAAGGAAAGGAAAACTATCATCAGAGCATGAGCACTGACTCAAAGGGATATAATCTGTTGGTAGAATTGATTGCCATGACAGTTTTACTCTTGCGTGACTTAATCGGCCATCTGCACGCCATGAAAGCGTGAAGTGTCACGAGACCAAAGAAACGTCTGCGACGGCGACTGAGTACCTTTAGAGCGTCTTTTTCTTATTCTGGCACTGGTTAAAGGGACTAGTAATCTTCGACCTTCAGTTTCAAGGTAACTTTGCGTATGTGCTTGATCTAGACCAGGGCAGTAAGCACATTTTTGCCATCAGAATTGTTAGGTTTGCATAACAATGAATTAAAAGAGTCATTACCCAGTGGGGCAGGGGAGGCTGGGGGGGGGGCACAGGCACCCCTGGGCCGTCCTCTAGATACATTCCTGTAAACTTCATATACTCTTTCATGTACTGAGTTAAGAAATGTTTGAGCTTAAGGCTTTTCCTTTTATGTTCAAAGAGTCACATTTTTATTTGCAACAGACACGAGGAGTATCTTTTACGGGAAAAAAAAACTACAATCGTTGGAAACTTTATGTTAGTCTTACTCTTTAACAATCAATTCAACAGTTTGATTTAAACTGGTAATACAAGACTAAACATTTCTCTTGAAATCACTGATATTTCTAAACTTCGGAAAACAGTGTACTAATGTAAATATGCATTTTCAGCGGATAAATAGTGAGGAAGAAAGTTTTAGATTTAATTTTTGGGCCACTTCAAAGAAGTGTTTACTGGAAGCACAGGTCCATCACTAAAAATGTCTACTTCTTACTAATAATAATTGTTTTACAACATTGGCTCCAACTTTTCCAGTCACAAGTGCAAAATGGAATAAAGAATTGTATATATTTTCAAAGCAAACCAAACAAAAATACCATCGGGGCGAGTTTACAGCCCACTGAGGAAGTTATAAAATTTCAAATTTTGTTTCCAATTTTGATAGAATATTGAGAAATAAAATACACACAAATAGAATAAAAGTTTGGCCTTAAAATCTTAATTTAGACAGTGGGGAAGAGTATTTCACCAATATCTGCAAACTGTTGTATTATTAAAAGACCTTGAAAAAAAAAATCAAACACAATTAATCATCAAGTATTCAAAGTTGTCATAAGAAATATGGAAAAAAAAAATTAAAAAAAAACGGCCTCAAGTTTTAATAGCTAATTGTTTTTGTAGACACCCTTACTGATTATTTCCATCAACTTTTAAACCTTAGAACTACTTATTCCAAATTTCTTTATATTTATGAAAACAAAAAATCCAAAAAAGTTACTGTCCTCCTCCCCTCAAACAATTTGAATGGTGGGAGTTTCAGGCGGTATGTTTGCGTTCTCCTCCATCAATGGTTTTGTATCTTTATCAGAGGGGGATCGTTCAGTGGGTCTGGTGTCCTGTGGTCCCTGTTTCTCCAGGTGACCGCTAAGCACAGGAGCCTCACCATCTGTAATATGCAATTCAAGGAGTGGGATGGACTCTTCAGGGTCATGTTTGAGGAAGCTCAATCTGTTGTCTTCGTTCTTCTTTTCTTTGTGAGGCTTTGGTTCTTCTGTTTTGATTGATTTCCGTGCGGCGGCTCTTAATTCTCTTGCAACTGAAAGAAAATCCAAAAATTTAATATGACCTTAAATATATTTCAACGAAAAGTAGATTAGAAAGGAAAGGCGATAATGGCGCTTCGACCTTGCTACGAACGATTTTAGTTTCACTGGATTTTATCGCTTAAAGTTCTGAAAGAAGACTGCTTGCGAGCGTAGGTGGTGACTTTCCGATATCCTGAGCTTATCCCAGTTCGAGTGGCATGAAGGAAGCAGCGGTATATATATTTTTTTCACATAAAGGGGGATGGCAGGAAACTGCGGCTAGCCTTTCCTCTATAAATGATGATTTTCATTTCGGTTTCTTTTACACGTTACTCGTATGCATGAGAGCTTTTAGATGGAGAGAGAGGCACTTTGAAAAGTGAGAATCTTTCCCAGGATTACAAATGACTCCCGACCAGGAATCGAACCCAGACCACTCGAGGCGGAGTCATTCCTCAAATTTAATCGCCGGTGATCGCATAAAGTGGGTCGAGCTTTTTAAGCTTTTCACTGAAGTAATTAACGTTATTACATTTTATTTTAAACATACAAAGTTGCTGGGGATATCAACTTACTCTCACGTTTGCGTTTACGCTGACTTTCCCGTAATCTGAAGTGTCTGCAAAAAGAAAAACGACAAATTGCACTGCTTAGGTTTAACACTACATTCCACTGTTTTTGTGTGGAGCAAAATTAGTGATTTTAAAATAGTATATTTCTATATATATGTATATCAAGGGATGTCGAAGGATTGGAACGACGAGGACAAGAAGAGCAGGGGGGTCGGGTGTGTGGAGGTCGAATCACCCTATAAGAGGGTCTGAATGGGGTGTTGGCTTTTGCGGCTAACGGTAAAAAGTTTGGCAATTTTACGATTACGGTTAACCTAAAATGACAAAAAACGACACTTTGTAGACAGGAAAATTTCTTCTTTCTTCACGCAAAACGGCCACATTTTATGGCTGTTTTGCGGCTGACTATTAACCCCATTTGAGACTCTCCTGTTAACATAAAATTTCAAACATAAAAAACCAACCTCATCTCGCGGTTGCTTTTAACCACCATAACTACTACAAATGCAACAATCCCAGTTATAAGAGAAACCACAATGTAAATGGAAATCTGCCAGCCTTCGTTAATTTTTTTCCCCTCAGTCAAAGCGTCTGCATCAGAAGGCTCGTGAGGATGACCCATTTTACCATGCTTGCCGCCGGGATTACTATTGTTTTTATGCGTGTCATTTGATTCTCCGTGGTGGGTGGGCTTGCTGTGGTGGGTGGGTTCGCTGCGGTGAGTGGATGCACTGTGGTGGGTGGGTGGGTGTCCTGTTACTGGTTTGGTTTCCATTTGTGTTGTGTGCGATGTTGATTGTTTGACTGGTTTTGTGACTGGGACGTTCGCTTCCGAAGACATCGGATTTTTCTCAGTCGAGGACTGCGTGTTAGCCCTCGCCTCCTCGGTTGATGCTGGTGTAGATGGCATCAGAGCTTCGACGGTCAAAGGAAGAGAGGTACTAATCAAATCTACAATCAGAAAGAAAAGTAAGTTTTCAAAAGATTTCTCATTTGCGATATTCTCTGTTTAAAGGTAAGGAGTTTCCATACACCCTTAAATGTTAGGGAACGGGAATTGATGTGAATTTCTACGTCAGTTTAGGGAGTACTATTACATTAACCATTAAAAATTGCTTTAATCGATTTGCATAGATAGGTAAACATGAAGGTCAGTAGCTTACAATCCATATGGGAAGTAAGTAGGGTCTCCTTTGGTGAAGAAGAAATGACCAGGGCGTTCATGGTAGAATCTTTAAGTTTGAGTGATGCTATCATGTCGTCTTTTAACTGTGGAAATGAGGATGATGTAGTTTGCCTGGAGGACTGAGACGATGTCTTATGGCTCAGTTCCCACGGTGACGGTTCTACGATAACTTGCGTGGCAGCTTTTGTCGTGTTTGTGGTCATGCGTCCTTTTACGTATGATGACGTAACCGTTTTCACTGCTTGGGATGACTTCATTCCTTCCTCTGTTTGAGAATATATTGACTCACCGGTCTGGCTCAGTGATTTGCCTCTACTTAAGGTTTGAGTCATTGTCACAGTGGTGAGAGAAATCGTTCTTTCTGTAGCAAAAGGCGATATTAGGCTGGTAGCCGCTGGAAAGAACGAGTTTAGTCTGGTTGGAGACGAAGATAATGATATCTTTGTCGTGGAAGGAGCTTGTTCCTTGAGGGCGGAGGATGCCTTCAAATCTAAGACTTTCGACGAGGTGAATTCCTCCCTGACTCGTGAAGACATAGGTATTTTGATTGGAGAGGAAGAGGGTGAAGAAGAGTTCATTTTTTCAAGAACAACAATAGTGGTCTCGACCTCAAAATTACGCAAAGACCTCGTGCCTGAGGATGCAGAAGGATAGGATTCGTTTCGAGATATTTTTACTAGCGAAGACTTATGATAAGAAGAAGCTTGTTTGCTTGAAAATGAGGAGGGTTCTTTTTTCAAAGTTGACCAAGATGCCCTTTGGTCCCTGGTTTGAGATGAGGGTGATGGAAGGGAGCTACTTTGCCTCTTCAGGCTTGGGGAAACCGTAGTTTCAAATACTGGAGAAGCTGGTATTGCCTCCTTGACCTGGGTAAGCCACATTTGTTTTGACAGACCTGACCTAACAGAGGAATAACTCTTTTGTTCACCAGCTTTTGATGTCTTTATTCTCAAACCCTCGAATGAACTCACAACTTGCTTGGGAGAAGATGACGTCTTTAAAGTCAATTCATTATGAGGTGTCCCTCTTATTTCTCGTTCTGGAGTAAGGTAATCAACGACTGTAGACTTTGATGACGTAATCTGCACGTTGACCAAATATGACGTCACGATAGGTAATGTTACCATTAAGCCATTTTTACTTGGTTCGACAGACATTGTCGAAGAGCTCTCTTTGGGAGCGGGTCTAGGGCTGGCGTCGACTTTTGCTGGAATTGTGGACATGGTCATTGTTGTTGCTGTCGTTGAAGCTTGGGGACCTGGAATGGATTTCAGTCTTTCATACATACCGATGGTTACCTCTGAGAACTCGCCAGCCTTTATTCCATCAGCTTGAGTGTCTCTACTTATCCCAAACTTTACAGGTGAAGCTGACGGCATAATGCTTAAGGGAGGTTGAGCCGTTGCCAGTTCAACACATAAAAAGTGACAGGCAGCAAAAATGTAAAGTACAGCAGCCCTCCTGATCCAAACCACCTTACAAAGTCCTTCTCGCATTGCTGAAGCCAACTAACTTTCACGTGTTCGAGAGATGTCTCACTTTGAAATTCTGGAAATGACTTTAACCTACTTTCTGTACTCTGACCAGTCGTATTGCTCTTGGCGATGAATCTGGAGTGCTTAATTCTTTATGTTTACTCTGGTTAAACGTAAAAAGTAAAATGACATCTGGGGAAGTTTCTAGGATGCGTATTCACATGTACAGGATTTGACTCTTGTACTCTTAGGATAAATATTAACAAATTTGTAGCATTATTGATTTATAAACTGTCTGATATATTTCATTGACGCAAACGGGCGCCTTCTCTCTTCAGAAGAGACAAAATATTGTGCGTATAAATGAGGTCATTAGTCATCTTTTGTTGTTTCGCCAGACTTAAGAAATGATGTGCTCAAGTTATAACCATGGAGAACTCAACTAATTTAGAAAATAATTTGAATATATCAACAAAGTTGAAATGGTAAATTGGCCCGCGTTACGATTATAAAAGCTGACGTTTCGAGCGTTAGCCCTTCGTCGGAGCTCCCACGAAGGGCTAACGCTCGAAACGTCAGCTATTCCTAACCGTAACTGTGGCCAATTTACCATTTCAACTTTGTTGATATATTCAAATTATTTCGTTACACCCACCGACGCAGCCCCAAACAGTTTCTTTAGAAACTATCAGCCTTTATTAATTTAGAAAATTGCAAGTTGACGATCTTGAGTCATGTTAGAATATTGATATATGGATCTTGCACGTGGCCAAAAGACTCATCGAATAATGATTAGCTCCCTTTAGATCGCCAGCTATTGTCAATGATAATTTATCACATGACAGCTAATCCCCTCAGAAAAAAAATATTGTAGTGCCTTTGTCTTAAGGGATTAACAAGCGACTGAAGTAAACTTCTAAATCATTTCAAAAATAGTATCTTCGCACCAATTTTGCAATATTTTTTTGGAATATATTTGACAATTCGATTTCAAGAGACTATATAGCGTCTAGGAGATTTCGTCATTCTATCAACGCCACTTGTCTGATTCTTTCATATTGTGACAGTAAAGGGGAAAGTAGACTTTGAACAGACATGTCACCAAGATTTACCAACTAATTCTGTATTTGCTTTTCATCTGACAGAGTACTCAGAGCTAACTTTTCATAAAGAGGAACGTTTATTGATTAATAGAAGACTTTCTTTGCAAAATTGTACATACTGTAGAATCAGTAATCTAGTCTCCCTACTTGAATTCATTTTAAAATGGGCTTCGAGTACCAAAAGAAAATTTCTCACTGACCTCAACGGTCAAAATTTGAATTGATCTTTTTTCGCCCGGTTGTTTCTGTCTTTTTATATCCTTTCTACTGGCTAACAGTTTTTTCATACGATCGTAAAGCCGGTACTCGACATGAATATGTTGCTTTCTTTTAGGATTACAGAAAAGTTCTGTCGGTTTTTCTTTTTTTTCTTTCTTTCTTTTCTTTTTTTTTTTGCAATGACATGCACTGTTCATTGCTTCTAGTTTGAACCTACATTTCTGATAGGTATTCAGCGAAAGACGACCTTCTTCAAACCTATGATCGTTTTAGCTATAGTTAATAGTTCACTTTCCGGCGTTTAAATATATTACAATAACCAACGTCACGCTTGAATTGAAAGTACGAATATTGGAAAAGAGCGAAGTATTGTTCCTCGAATCAATACCTCAAGAGCTCGGGATAAAGTTCTTTGTAAGTCCTTTAGTCAATATTCCAAATGAGAAACTAGTTTTATGAAAGCCAAATGCATGGTGGTTTATATTAATTTCTCAAAAAAATCCGACTTTTGCTTCGTGGTGTAAAACGTTAAAAATTTTGTTAAGTTAATTAAAGTCGTCATTATATACATACGTTGCTAGTGCAGTTATTGTGTCACCGCTGTTTTGGTGGCGCTTTTGCCCTGACTTGGACCTTGCTGGCTGATTATACAAATGAAGATCAACTTTGCAAGTTTTAGCCAGGCAAACTCAAAACAGAGTGAATAACAAATACCGCAAACATTTCAAAACCGATAACAACTTACGCCGATCCGAACAAGTCGAACCGTGTCACTCATTGACTTCACAAAACGTTTTACTCACCTTCAGAGCTTATGGTCGGTGTAGTTAAATTTTCACTCGAAACAGCTAAAGCTTGGATCAAAATAACAACAAAGAAAGACTCCACTTTTGTCTTGGAAAAAGCCATAACTTGACTTGTTGTTAAGATTTTATCGATTACTTCCACACTAGAGTACCAAGGTTTTCAGGGTTTTTTTGTTCCTTAAAACTGTTTCACGGAACAGGCTCGTTTGGGGTGCTCACAGGGCGCGATATGAGAAAGTTAGTGCGTATAAGTTATATTCTCCGTGAGATTGTCGTAGACTGTGATAGGCACAGACCCAGTTTGACGCGACGAATAACAATCATCTTCTAATATCGCCAAGATGATTGAAAAACTTCAATATGACGTTTCTTTTCATTGATTTTGTTTCGTTTCGTCTCGTTTAATAAAAGTTGCAGTTTTAAGTTTCGTACGGTCCCATTTCTGCGCCCAAGACAAACGAACGAGTAAAAATAAAAAATAAAAAACGAAAAGAGAAAAAACAAAACCGAGATTTGAGGTCACAGATTTAGCCAAGGACATTCAATGTGATGAGTGCTCTACTGAAAAAAATAATGATTTTGTTCCATATTGAGTAGTGGTCGCATATTTGACCTCGTTTTTCAGGAACCAACATAGCACTCCAATAAGCAAAAATTCATTTCAAGTAGCCTCTTTTAATGTAATCTGCTAATTATAGGCAATTGACACTAGATTGCACCGCCAGAAACCACACTTAAAGAGTTTGGCGATTTGTCTACGACAAATTGCGTAAGTTCTTAGCTTGTTCTAATCTACGCAAAAATGTTTTTGGTTATCGAATCTGTGTTATAATTGTTGTTTTACTGTAGCATGTCCCTTGTGGTAGTTTATTCTCATACGACCTCGTGATCGACACGATTAAAGGAATTAATATTAATCTGAGAGGCTGACGTCAAAATTGATCAACGGACTTTGGAAAACATTTCGCCGACTTATGTCATGTCTCACTACATTAACCTCATTGGGAGCACTCGTCTTTCATTATATTCTGAAGCTTCTAATCTTCTACTAAAGAAATTGCACGTATGTGTCTCTCATTAGCTTCTCATCGGGTTAGAATTCACTTCGCGCGAAAATAGAACCATTTAAACCCGTTACACCCTTAGATCGGTATGCACATTCTCCACAATCTCCTCAAACATTTCGTGCGGTGCTAACAAGGAGAATTTGATTAAAAATCAAGAGCTTCTTCAGCTGGTGATCATTTCTTTTATTCTCTTGACCTTAATGTGTGATTCAGTAGTGATATTGTATGGAGAATTTAGATGCTGGTCGCTCTTAGGGGTCACTGATATGCAACAGTGATGCTGTGGGAAGAAAAAAGATGCCAATCACTGTTATCGGTTAAAGTGTTTATAGAGAGTAAATTTTCCAGGACGAAATTTATCATTAAATCATTCTTATTTATCTCACAAGGGTTATCAAAGTTACTGTGTACGAATATAGATTCGATATCCATAAAACAGTCTTCCTTCAAACATCTAAAACGATGCCTGAAGACCTAAAATCTGTCTTGCGAAAGCAAAGCAAACGTCTTCCGTTTTTGAAAGAAAAGATAACTGAAAGTTTTACCGCCGAAATTATTTTACATTCTCGATTAAATACATCTTGCTAGTTTACGAATACAAAAGTAAGTTTCAGCATAAGTTAGAGTCGTTTCTCTGGTTCTGGTGTCTTGTTCAGAAGAACTTGTCGCTGAGTCTTTATCAAAAACTCAGTCGCCCTTAAAACCGCATCCCTCACATGTCTTCCATTGAAGAGTTCACGTCATTGAAAAGGGCTGTTCTTTTTGTCTACAAGGACGTTGGAGCTGTTGGTTGAATCACTAGTAACGAAGGTCTTCAGATTCTCGGTGACCAATCAGAAACCGCAAGAAAGCAGCAGGCGTGTTCTCGCCAGCAACTTCTGTTACTGAGCATACACGAGAAAATTTTAAATTGTGGTTGACACAGCCACAAACAATAACGAGGCTTTAAATTAGCCAAGCTACGACTCAACGTGGATAATCTTTGAAGTCAATTTGCCTGCATGTCAGTTGTTCTCAATCTTCGATTCTGTTTCAGGAAGAACGTAGACTGGGACATTTTGTGGAAAAAGCGGAATGAGAAAATATCTTGTTAGCCAGCAGACAGAGGTTTTTTTTTTAAGAACTATGCTGTCGAATTTGGGAACAGTTTCCAAATTTCACTGCGATGAATCCTGTTGAGAACCCTATGCTGGTCGCGCGTTCTGACAGCACGATGTTTTAACATACCTAGCATCACTCTAGACATTTTAAAAAATTACGTGACTTTTGTTATTCATCAGGATCAGCATAGTCATGGTGGCACGAAGAATATTCATCAAGTACCACGTGACAGTTCTTGTTATCCACCTCATCATCATTATCATCATCCGGGTCAGCGTAATCGTGAAAGTGAATATTGTCAATTATTGCCTGGTCATCTAGGTCGGCATAATCGTGGAAGTCGGTATTGTCTTTTATTGCCGGGTCATGATTTTCCTCATTATGCGATAATACAATAACACCTTCTGGTTCATCGTAATCGTGGAAATCTGAAGACAAACCATTTACGGGTTGTTTTCTCGTTGAAGGATGTTTTATTTTCTTCAAAATCGCCTCCGCTGGAGGTTCTTCATAATCCAGGCAAGAATCCATAGACTGGTGAGGAGACGTTTCAAATGAATCTAAAAAAATGATAACTCTTGTAAAAAAAAAAAGGCACAAGAGAGGATAAAGGTCTCTTAAAAATAAATTGGTAGGTAAGGTAACTCCTGAGCCAGAGTTATCCTAACATGAATTGGACCTCACCCTGCAGCACGTCTCCTAACATAAATTGGACCTCACCCTGCACCCCGTGTCCTAACATGAATTGGACCTCACCCTGCACCCCGTGTCCTAACATAAATTGGACCTCACCCTGCACCCCGTGTCCTAACATGAATTGGACCTCACCCTGCA